TTGCACGCGTTTCTCACACGTCAGTTTAATATTGTGCGAGGTAATAAAACGTTGAGTTGAATTGAAACTCGAGAGAGGAGAGTGTTTTTAATGTTATCGACGCGAAATCTCGCTTCGCTTTGTCTGCTTTGGTTAGAGAAATGTGGGAAAAGTATTGCGTGAAAAATTGTGAAATTGTCACTACCGGTTGGTACATTGAAAATTAAAAATTCCCTGTTCACCCCTATCGCAAATTTTTAGAGAAATGGTTACTTTAAAATTTCACGCGTTAATGGACGTTAAATTAAAATATTTCAAGAAAAAAAATGGATTACAATATTAGGTGTACTAATTAATTCGTTACCTTTTCTCACAAATTTCAATCTTTATTTACAAAAATATCAAAGACAATTTTAACTCTTTGCGGTCATTGTCCGTAGGCATGGTAGCCTAAAAAACGTATAAATTTTATTCAAATGAGTTTGTTTAACCTGTGTGCACTTTTTCCCCCGTTTCTGTAGGTAAAAGGTCCACAGAGAATTTAGAAGATAAGAACGTCTTGCCGGGAATATCTCGGGATTCGACCGCAAAGAGATAACGTTCAAAATAATCTCCATTAGTTTGGACGATCATTTTTCCACTTATCCGGTAACTGACGAATTCCCTCTCTAAAGAAATATTGCGATTTTAAGTGAAAAAGATCGTCGAGACATTACGAAGAAAGTGCACCGAATTAATTCATACACCTAATCCAACATTTAACCCACGATAAACGTCTAAATAACGAACAAGCGTTCGCTTCGTAAGCCGTGACGTAAATATACCAGCAGAAGCTTATACACACGTTTAACGCTTCCTCCCAGAAACACCCGGAAATTTCGTCCGACAAATTTTTCATCGCAACAGGTTCTCAAGTGCTTTCCCCGTATTGCTTCGACGGTTCAACGGACCGTTTCTACATAATTTAAACGAACTGTTGCGCATTGCGCGGGACTGTGGAATGGGACCATCGGGACTAACCTCGTGCCTCGTGAAATTCAAGGGCTATATGGGCGTCCACGCCCAGGGAGAAGTAATTATTAACCACGTTCAGCGGTAGATTCTCCTTGCCCTTTCCGGTGTCGTCGTCGCCCTGAGCATCTGGATTTCTCTCAACCACCAATTGCCATCTGTCCAGCAACGTTGTGTCGCTCTCACCGATATTCGTGAGGATCTTTCCGATCGGTTCATCTGTGTAACCGCCGCCCCAACCTAAAGCTCTGGCTAGATCGTTTCCGGTACCAAGAGGAAGTACACCCACTGCAGGCGGTGGATTCGCACCGATTTGATCCAGGATCGACAGCACCCAACCGACTGTACCGTCACCGCCGCACGCGAGAACTCGGAGATTCGGAACTTTGTTGAATAATTCCAACCTGGAAATGTTGAGTCGTAGTTTTAGTTTTATTTTAGTTTCCTTTGAATAATTTGGGAGTAGAATTTTGATGATAGTGGTGTTAAAGAAATTTGCTTAGTCGGTGGTGAATCTCTGAATTTTTCAATTTCAGAATTTTGGAATTAATGAATATTTGAATCTTTAAATCTTGGAATCCTTGAATATTTGAATATTAAAATCTTTGAATATCGCAAAGGAATATGTAGACGGCTAAAAAAGCATCAAAGATGAAATGTTTTTCAATACAGCTCAAACAGAGTGAGTTGAGAGAGAAATAAAGCACTTTTGCTGAAATTTTTAATCATCAAAACCAGTTACCAGTTCTCCATTCAGCATTCCTGACTTAACGCCGAAGCTTCGTTCGAAGTAAAAGAAAAAAAACTTGAAATAATAAATAATAACGCTCAACTTCGCAACGTTCGAACAATAAAACTAATTACCATAAGTTTCATTGTCTGTGATTTATTTGAAATGCATTCAACCACTTCCATCTGAATGCGGTTTCATTGCAAACAAAATTTCAAGCTTTCAATGAATAATGAAAAATGAAGTACCTGCTCTCTTGTACGAAGCAAACAGGAAGAAAAACCGTGTTTCGTTCGTAATTTAATTATTACGATTTCAATACCTCCCGATATGCGTTGTGGGTAGTCTCGCGAGTATAGATATGGAAAACTTTGAGGTTCACGATTATGTTCTATTGGCGAAGTGCCGTAAAATACAATGCTTGGTACACGAGGTGCGCTAACATCTTCTTCGCTTGCGCGTTCAAAAGGAACTGTCTGGAAGCAGACAATCCGGTTTGCGCCGGAATATCGCCCCGCTCCTCTCACCCCGGTACCGGATCGCACGAACGAGTGCGATCCGACGCGCAGCTTCGATTTGCTCGACAAATAGAAAAAAAAAGGGGGGAAACGAGAGAAATTCATCAACAGCCGAGTTTCAAGGAACTTTTATAATTGTCTGACTGCACAGTGACGGTGTAATATTCACGGACATGTTGTTTATGTCGTCATGAATACAGCCGAGCGTTATGTCTGAACTTCTGAATAAACTTCCCAAGGAACTTTCGATAATACCGTAGCGACAACCTTTATTCAGCCACTTCCTGGCTACCAGCCAACCGGTAGAACTTTAATTAAACCTCTTGTTCATTTATCATATTTTCCAATATCCCGTCCCCTTTCGTCTAATCCATCGAATCAATTCATTTTCATCTCAATTTCCATTCAATTAACCTAATTCCTTGCCAAAATCCGGACACACTCTCTCTATTAGGTGTAGAAAGTGTCGTACAAAATGTTTCGCTTCCTCCCCGCTTTGAAATAGACCCTTCAAAAGATCGAATATTACGCGGATTAATTGGAAAAAAAAATAATCGGAAACCCAACATTGCGGTATCGATAGCTTTGACGAATTGTTATTTATTCTCCTAGGAAAGAGACAGTTTTATATGAAAGAGATTGCTAAACAATCGATAGTCGATCTACCACGAATCAGTGGCTAGTGAAGGTCCTCCAACTACATATGTATGTACTCTGTTAACCTTACCATATCTGAGTCTCTCCCATAAAACAAAATGTGAAAAAGTACAATAACTTATTCGAAATTAATTGAATTTTTACACAAAAATCTAACTTATTTTAACCTATACCCTACTAACATTAACAAGCAAAAATTCTATTAAATTGTATTATACTGTTAACTCAATAGTAGCTTCCCTATTTCTTCCCCCTCTTCAATTTTTTACACAAAAACCTAAATTGTATAGCCTACACTGTACTAAAATTAACAAAAAAGAATTGCATTATATTTTCAACTTAGATAATAATAACTTCCCTATCTCTTCCCCTCTCTTTAACTTTTTACGCAAAATCCTAATTTATTGTAACTTACACACTACTAAAATCATTAGAAAAATACAAAAAAAATTCATAATTCCACCAAATTATATTCTCAACTCAGAAATACCCTCTTCAAACACATAATCCACAAACTCACCCCATTTTGGGCCCGCCCTGCGTCAGATCGAAGACCTGCCTCGGATTCAACAGCCACTGGAATTTCTGCAACAGCTTAGCACCCTGATTTCCTCCAGATTTCGGGTTGATGAAAACCAGCACCGGTTTCACCGACGCTGTAGGTATCGGCTTCACCACCCACAATTTCCCCTGATCTTTGTCCAGTTCCTTGTCCTTCTCCTTCGACTTCTTTCTGCTAGCACCGGTGCCTGCACCGCTGCCGGACTTCTTCTTCCTCGGTGATTTCCTCAGGCTACTCTTGAAGCTACCTTTCCTAGGCAACTTCACGATCCAAGACGGCGGCACTATGATGGAAGCGTGAACACCGAGTTCACAGTTCTCGCCGATCTTCTGTACGTTGAAACACGCCTCTTTGTTATGATAAGCGAGCTTGCAGAAGCTGCAGCTGACCGCGACGATCTCTTTGGAGGAGAAGCTTAGCTTGGATTGGAACGATTTGCCGCAGTTCGCGCATTTCCCTTTTTGCGAACGACGATGGACCCAGTGGTGATGCGTGCTCGTCTGCTCTCTGTACTGACGCACACCCACGTCACGGAAGCTCGATTTACAGGCGAAATTCAGACCCACGGCGCAGACCGCGTGGGCCACCACGCGGCACGCCGCGCATTTCATCCGTGGTCCATGTTTCTGTAAAGTTTTCGGAGGTTTTATTCGTCAGTCGCACTGTGTACGTTGTTAGTGCAATTGTGGTAATTTTCTTTTTGAAGGACTTTGTAATTTTTCAATTTGAGAAAAATAGAAAGGGTTGAGTTTATTTCTTTTTGAAGAAATTTGTAATTTTTAAATTTGATAGAAGTAGGAAGGGTTAAGTTTATTTCTTTTTGAAGAAAATTGTTTCGGTTGGGTGCTGGTGGATTGGACGAGAAGCTTGCGAGATGGTGACCACGTGGAGAGTAAAAATGGCGACGTGTAACTAGTGATCGTTTATTCTCATGTACAGATCGAACGCACTAGTGCCTAGTGGAAATTAGACACATAATTTCTTACGAAACACTCACTCAACTTAAACTTACGAAGCGAATAAAAAAAGATGGCAATTCGCACGGTGCATATGGAGGTTATAAACGACGGAGATCGAAGCAACGATCGACGAAAAGTTAAACGGAGGAGACAAGAATCGAGCTAAGAATGCCGATCACCGGTAATGCGACGGCGCAAACGCTTCGCTCGCGTTAGGTGGGGATGACGATAGACGCAAATTAGCCGCTGTGCGCAGGTGGTCTGTCTTCCGAGAGAGACGCGAAGTCATAGACCGGTCAACAAGCATGGATCGCCCTACACAGGGCCGCACGCAGCGGGATCGCGCCCGGGGACATGCCGGCATTGAACAAAAATTGTAATTTTTAAATTTAATAAAAACAGGAAGGGTCAAATTTGTTAGCGACGACGTATTCTGAGGGTCGTCGAAGGCGATTGACAATTAACCCTTTCATTGCTGTTGACGCTTTGAAAATTTACTCACACTGTACAATTCGCGCCTTTCGTGCACTTCTAATTAATAATCAACGTCTGTCCATGTGCATTGCGCACTAAAATCTGTCGGCTGAAAGTATTGTATAATTGGGCAGGAGGTGATTCTCCCTCCAAAAATAAACGAAAAAATGAAGAATAAAATTTTTTTATTCGAAGCGTAGTTTTTGAGAAAATCGAGCTCGAAAATCCATTGGGGATGTTTGCATTTACATAGCTAAGATGCATTTCATCGAAAGATATTCTAGGTTCAAGAACGCAGAGCGACAAAGTTTTATCAATTACATTTCATTACATTAATTAAGGAATTACTGAAACTGGTGCTCTCGTGCAAACGTGCCCCAAGGATGTTCAAACCCAATTATCTCCAAAGTTAAGCCACTAATGAAAAAATTTTATTTCACATTTTTCACTCATTTTTCAACGAAGAATTACCATACTTTCAACCTGTATAGTAAATGTAATTAGGGGCTTATAAGTCTTAAATAGCAAATTTCATTTGCCGTTGGCAGTGAAAATTAAAATGAATTACACGGTGAAAATTGAAACGAATAATACCAGCTGTTAATTTCTGCGTTAAAAGAAGAACAATTTTCTGTGAAATTATGCAGGTCCCTCTATTCATCGCTTTCATTAAATTTTCACAAGCTTTTTCTGCCGGATTTTTGTTTAAACATGTGCTTCATAAAATCTCCCTTAACGAGCAAGAAACCTCTCGACAATTGTTTCTTTTTTTCCAACATCGGTCGTAAAGTGTAATACGACCTTTGTACGTTTAAATCACCGAAAATTACCATCGTATCGTCGCGGTGGAGCGTTTCGAAGTCCTCAAGAGCGCCATATTGGGACACGCTCAGCATCAGAGACAGAGCAAAGATACTGAATTATGCATTATCGATGAGATAAAAGTTGGTATGAAAAACGACATCACCAGACGTAAATATCGAAATTTATGTGATCATCTAAGAGCACTCGTGTTACTTATCTTCACCTGCAAGTGTAATCAATCATTCCTCGAGCATCTGTACAATCGTTGCAGAAAAAGACACGCGTAGAAACATGTAATTACAAAAAGAAACATTCTCATTTTCCACTTCGTTTATCCTGCAATTAAATATCTACACGTCTCTTAACACGTTCGCATCGGGAAACGAGAATTCTCGTGTTCTTTGAACACGAGAAAAGTTCAAATTATATCGTGTTTGATATCATTTTCATCAGAAAAATCTCACCATGTTAAAAAAAATTTCAGATGAAAAAAAGTAAAATTAAAGAAATTATATTTTTCTATTATGATTTGTCGAGCCGTGAAATCTCGTAAAAGAAACCGAGTGGTGTAGCGTTGTACGCTTGACTGACAGCGAGCGAGATAACATAGGCGCAGCAATGACGCAGACCTAGGCGTAGGACCATCTATACTGACACTTGTAGAATCCAAACTGACTGACACTTGTAGAATCCAAACTGACTGACACTTGTAGAGAATTTACTGTATTGGGCGCCAAAGACGAGGCCCGATCGTCATTTGTTTCCCCCGATAGGCAGATTGTCTTGCTCGGCGTCGATGGAGAGGAAGACGACACGCGCTCGCGTTGTATAAATTGTGCTTCACCCAGATTGTAATCCTTGCGTTATAATTATAATAGCGTCCAAAATGCTGAATTATTATTACAACATAAAATTAGAGTGTACGGAACTATAAGAGAGAATAGAGGACTACCAATAGGTCCAAAACCTTTAGATCACTAAAATACCCCCGATTTATAGAAAAGTTTGTGAAAAATAGCCCGATGCGAATGTGTTAAAATACACACGTTCAACCCTCATCCGTCCTTCAATTTCGCATCTTAACAGGTCCCTCGGTGTTAATTCGACACAATGGTAAAAAATCTGTGGCGACCGCCACGGGGGACCTACGTACTTAGGCCTGGCGACTCTTGGCCCTCGAGGCGAAGAATCGAGAGATGTTTTTCCAAACATCTCCGAGTTTCTTCGTCCTCGAGGACAAGAGTATCGCCTCGGCAATGCAGGCCCCACGCCCCCACTTCCTGGGACCTTCCCAGGGAAAAGGGGCTACTTAAGGGAGCCCCGAAAAAGGCAGGAGTAATTTTGTCGTAGACCTTCTTTCTACGCGCATCGTATCGCCTTACATTTAAAATTAGTTGAAGTATTATCGGTTGAATAAATATATTTTTGTTAAACAACTTCGCGAGTAAGCATTTACACCACGTCACTTCCAAAAACCAATTAAACGAAAATAATTAATTTTGTAAATTCTTTTTTAAATATAGAAAATAAAGGTAAAATGTTTTCTACAAATAGCCGAATAATACAATTTTTTACCGGAAAAATGTGTCGAATTGACACGAGGGACGGGTTAAGCAATACGCTAAACGAAGTGACTTTAACGAACGATCTTTCGTCGTCGTTTTCTATCCTCGAGCACCTTCTAATTAACGGTTGGGAGAGATCCTTCTTTTTTCTTCTCTCGAGGAGAAGAAGTAGAACAACTAAGCGTGTCCACGAAAATACCCCATAATTATAGCCAATTTTACAACAATTCTTCCCATTCAAAGACGAGCGATTTCGTAATTACAAAAGATACGCGAATTTATGTAACACCGTTCACCTAACCAATTAACCTGTGCGTTGTGTAATTCTTTATAATTACACCGGTTGAAAACTGCGTTCAGTAATAAAAGGTAGAAAATAGAGCGCGATAATTAACTGGGGGAATTGGAAACGAACGAACGATCAAAACGATAGAGATCGTTTTGCTTCGAACGAACGGAAGAGAGGAATTTCTGTTCGAGGAAGAGGAAGGAGAGAAGTCCACGAAAAGCCTTAGGATCCTCTTAGCAGCGGTGGTTTTGCTCGAGAAGAAAAAAGAACCGCAACGCGCGCGAAATCGGATTAAACGGCGTTCAAAAAACTGGGGAGCCTCGTTAGCGGCGCTTTAATGGCATAATCGATAGAAATTACGGCCAAGAATACGGCAATCTCCCTATTTCCAACGCCACTCTTGGAAAATTATTTCCCTCCCGCGGTAATATCGTTCCGCGATATTGAAAACAGATGTTTCCTCTTCTTCATCGTGAAGAAAGTAGGAATGAAAAGTTTTCTGCTAATCTCTGTGCAACACGAGATTTCGACATTAGGAGGATGATCTGACGAAGTTGGGAAATTGAAAAGAAATGAACGAGTGTATAGTGCTAATGTACAGTTTAGAGTAGGTGCACAGTGGTATTAATATTGGGAGCTTTTGAAGATTTTTCTGTGGATTCGAAGCTGATTCTAGGAGTTTTCAGAATTTTTCTGAAAATTTCTGCATTTTTTTAAATAAAGTTTAACATATAAATTTGAAGCTTTGCGACTGCTTGTTATGAAAATTGTAAAGTAAAAATATCAAAATTTCAAAAATTGTGTTTATATTTATTAAAAGATTGTATAATGTAGTTGAAATGCATTCGTTAATTTATTTGGAAGTTAATTCTACGAACGTTGCAATTTTCACGATTTTTCTGAGAATTTCTGTTTTTTAAAATGCACAAAAATTCAAAATTTTTTAATTTTTTAATTGCTTGCTGTAGAAATTATAATACTAGCCTGGTCTTACTAAAAATTCGAAAATAAAAGGAATTGACGAAGTATTAATTAAAGAATGCAATTAGAAAAAGTTTATGCACGACATCTCGACGGACATTCGTAGAATTCTCCCAACTTCGAAGGGAAAATAAAACGGTATATTTCCACGGTCCCTATAACCTAATCTCTAGGATTCGCATTTAATCCCACGTAACACGATTTCCCACTACGCAACATTTTACAGCAACCTAACCACCCAGTTCCACGAGGGTTATCTGCAGGAGGAAAAGCTAAGATGCTCGGTACAGCCTCAAGCAGGCTGTTTTGTAAACTGTTGTAAAAACACATTCAAGGAAAATCGATTCGTTTGCAGTACATAGAGTCTAACGTATGTGCTCGTAGCAAGAACCGGAAGCTTTTTACACGAAGCGTGAAGCTCGTGCCTCTGCAATCTGGCAGAATTCGCATGCCGTTTAAAGAGCCCGCCGCAACAGTAAACCGAAAAAGGAGAAGATAGAAAGGAAAAAGGTGGAACTGGGAAACGGAAGAAAAATATGTGAACTTAGAGGAAG